ATGTCAACTTCTTTGTTATGAGGATCACAAAATTTCTGAATATATACTTACTCCTTCATTAGGTTAATATTCACGATTCTGCTCCAATTGCTTAGATCAATGCCCACATTGTCAATCACTGGGTCGTCTGGTACAGACTCGATTATTTACAGATCACTGTCATATGGCTGGAATATTGCTGAGTGTGGCGTTAAACAACAAACACAACATGTTTCTACTACCTGTCGTTGTGGATACCATTTAGAGAATCCTACACATTACATCTTTTCATGTCATAACTATTGCCATCTTCTAAATAATATGTACTTCTACATGTGTTTTGAACATATTTATTTCAAAATGTAATGGATTTGCAAACAATTTGATTGCCTATATATGTGATTATCAAATACTCAAAAAGTATTAATTACAATAAAGTTCAATACTATCAGTTAAGCAATAATGTAATCATTAAATTGTAAGTAGATAATTCAAGTATGAAACCATATTGATTAAATCTAACAGATTCTGACAAAAATGCATGTATCGATGAATTCTTTCAATGTTTTCCTGTACATAATTTTCAACATTACCATATTAAGCCATTTTTATATCATATTCATGTGTATGATAATACATATTATTTCTAATAATCGGGTAATTTGGACACACAAATATATAGCAACCCAATACTTGCCGTAACAGGCGACTGTGCTTGTCTAAAGAGTTGACTAACGGGATCGGGTGGCGGTCAGGCTCGGTGACTTGGTTGAAGCATGTCATTGATCCCAATTGTGTGGGTCGATGCTCATGATGTCAATCACTGGACTGTCTGGTCAAGACTCGATTATTTACATATAGCCGGAATATCGCTGAGTGCGGCATAAAACAACAAACCAAACCAAATCATAAAAAGCGCCATAAGTCGGGATAGGTCATTTGAGATTAGCAAGTTTTATGTGAACTTAAATCATTACAACCTGATCTGAGTGAAAAGACATGACTTTGATTCAGTGAAAATTTGCATCATGATAGTTTCAACTGTAGGCACAGTTAATCTAAACAGTTAATCTGATTTTTGTACAGTTTCTGTTTATTAATTGTTAAATGTCTTTGTGTTCAAATAAGCTTTGCCTCTTCACCAACCCTATTCCTCTTTTGGAATAAATAGTGTCTAATAATTCAAATACCATCACTACTAATCATCCTAGTGAACAAAACAAAGAAATGCCCATCAAAACTGTTATTATTATATATCAGATATCTCATGAAGAAGAAAAAAAACTGTTATCCAGCAAGATACATTTCCTTCGTCCCCAGAAGCATGTTACATAGTAAACTGACTTGATAGGTTGAATAGCAGTCAGCATGGTTGTAAATGCACAACTGACTAAGCCGTCACTACTCAATTAAGTAATTAACAGACAATTGCAAGTGCTAATACCCACCCGACACTAATTGCCCTGTTAATCCCTAGCCCACAATGAGTTGACATTGAGTTCATTTTGCTAATTAGCTTTTTTTAGAGTAGCAAGGTAATAAACATCAAAGGTGGGGCAGGCTTTGATCATGTGTTCTGTAGAAAAGATGATGTCACTTGTTTTATGTTTATTTAGGATTAGCTAGATCCCTTGATGCTACCAAGGCAGCCCTTGAGATTATCAGACAGTTTGGCTGGACACAAACAGATGTCTCCCTTGTAGCACACTATGTGTCAGACAAGGACTTTGACCACTCTGTGCAGATGCATATCAATGCATAAAGAACATTGGGTAGATGATTCAATAATGTCATGCAAGTCAAAGTTGGGTTTCACTGTACATGTATTTAGAAACAGACGATGTATCCAAAACTTTATAACAGTAATCATGATTAATTTAAACTTTGCCAGACCAATATTTTTGGCGGATTAAGATATGATAAAAATATGATAATGATTTTAGTCAAGAATATTGCCATGAATATTTTAATTCAGATCAGAACAAACGGGGAGGGTCACCCAAAAAATGTGAGAGTCTCTAGGGGAGGGACCGGTCATGTAAAAAGGGTTATGAAAAAATGGACAATAAAATATAAAGTGCTTTGCATTTTCTTTCAGGGAGGGTAGTGTCAGAAATGAATGAGAACATACCGGAAATACATGACCGGCCCCTTTAATGTAATATACATAGTTTTTAGTTGATGGTTCAGGTTGTGCTTTTCAGTTGAATTTCTTACCACTGTCTTTGTCGGACTACCAATTAACAGTAGATATTAAATATCCATAATAACTTAGATAAATACTTCTACAGTCTCATCCTAATTTGTCAAAATTTGAATTTCAATATAGCTTCCAATAATGAATGAATGAATTTGGTGAGAATATCTATTGTCTGAAATCCTAATGTACTTTCTTTTGTATTTGGTGTGCTAGGGTAGCCTAGTGGGTAAAACCATCTCTGAAAGCCAGGTTCGATTCACCACTTGGGTACAATGTGTGAAGCCCATAGCTGCAATATTGTTAACGAGCTGCATGAAACTATACCAACTCACTCGCTCATTATGTTGTATTTTGAGATCACTTACATGACCTGTCTGATTGAAAGTTTTGATTATTATGAATAGTTCTGTTTTTATGTATAAGAACCTATGTAACTTAGTTTCTGCATTGTCTTGTTTACCCTTCCATATATTTGTAATGCAAACATTCAAGCAAAATTCAGGTGAACAGTGTGGCGCTTAAGGTATTGTTTTTGAAGACCGGATACATTTTTGTATTTTCTGAACACTTTTCTGTTTGCAATGGCTTATTTACATGTTCAAAGATTGGTTAAATATCAGTTGCAAGATAAATTGTCAATACCCCACTGTTCGAGAAAACAACTTTTTACATGTGTAAATATGTGTTTCATAATTTTTGAATAACAAGTTTCTAAAGATGTTATGAATTGTTTCAGGGCTTGGATTTCACAATCTGACACCAGCTACATTTAAGAAGATCTTGCTCAGACATGTCAGACAAGGGACTTGCCGGATGATGAACAATCCTCCCGATAACAACCAACAGATTCACCTCAGAAAGTGATGATTCTGAATGAATAATGCCACATCAGTGTGACTATAGTATAGTGACTATAGTATGACACTAATCAAGTCTGAATGAATTTATGCCAAAGCACTGTGACTATGTCCAGGTTGTGTACACCGACGCTGACTATACAAATCTGAATGACTTTTGTGGTTTACTGCTGAAACATAATTGACTTTACATATTCTTCTTCCATGAAATTCTTCTGAGATTTGACTAATTTGTTTATTTAGAAAATTGCATTGAATAGTCTGTTCTGTAAGTTCTTGCAAACACCACTGGTTACTTTATGCTAGTTCCTCTTCTTGCTTGATCAAATTTCAATTTGTGATATGTACCAATGAAATGTCATATAATCAATAAATATAATTTTTTTTTCCAAAAACATTATTTGTTTTGCTTCATAAGCATAAAGAAATATGATACTGATCAGCCATAACATAGGTGCTGAACAAATATAAAATATAATAATGCCCTGAATGTTTTCCTACTATGAATACAGCTCACTTAACAAAAGTTGTAGTAGTAATCAAATGACATTGATATTTTTTTCTGTGCTCTATTTAGGTGTTTTCTATGGATGCCATTAGTCTTATGCACCTATTTGGGACAATTGTATTCTGTTTCATGTTCCCATGAAACTACACTGTCCAGATATAACAAGTACTGATACCGGGGCCAAATGCCAAAGCACATAACCAATGACTTTCCATTTTTTCTGAGTGAGAATGGTGTTATGCCACTTTTAGCAATATTGCAACAATATCACGGTGGGTGACACCAGCAATAAGCTTCACACATTTGTACCCATTTCGCGAATCGAACTTGTGAACAATGCATGCCCACATATCTCAGTTTTAGGAGGATATTTACAACTAAAATAACACAGAATATTACAACAGCTATCTCATATGTACAGGCTAACATTAATAACCAGAAACAAGACATGAAGAAAATTTGCATCCGGATACCTTCTGGAAACCTTCCGGAAACCTACCAGATGCCTTCAGCAACCTTCAAATTTCTTGGTATTTTCAAGATCATTTTTTTATGTGTTTCACACTTAAGTGAACAAAATGCACCCCCCAAATTTTGACATTTTTTTCGGAAGGTTTCCGGAAGGTATCCGGGCCGGATCCAAAATGGGTAGGTATCCGGAAGGTTACACTTTTTTTGCTGTGGTACTGTCTTCACTTTCCAGCACACTGTACATATCCTGCATATGAGCACTGTATATATATTGCGCACTATGTTTCCACAATGTGAAGCTTCAACTGTATTTTGTTCATTTTCATTTGCAATATTATGTATAACTGTTTATAAGGGAGAAGGCAGTAATAAGTGCTGCACATGTGCCCAATCCCTTTGTCTTTTTGGACAATACAATATGTTTAATAATAATTATAAGCAACCAATGTATTATGATCAGGGTCCATTGGTATCCCTTCAGCAAGTGCGAATCAGGTCCTAACACATCTGTTTTGTCATGTATCACGCGCTATACAGTCGAACCTCGCTTATCCGGACAATTGCTTTTTCTAAAATGTTGTCCGGATAAACGAGTTTCTGGATATCTGAATACCTTGTTAACTGACCAGAAGTCCTTCCCCTACCTCAATTCTACCGAGGCATATGTGAAATGAATGGCAAAAATATGATTTATGAAGGATCGACCAATTACTGATAAAATACATTGTGATGTATAGACCTTCACAGCATGCTGTGACAGCGCACTGCATTATTGAAACGGCTGAAGAAATGCATGTAGCCTAGTTTGTGATGGCCAGGTTAGGGCAACCTGACATACATGAGCATTATTAGCCTTGTTTACCTGTACTAGTGGACTGCCAAGGTTGAACTCATTCATGTGTGAAAAAAGGTTGTCGAGGCATCTGTAGGCAGCCTAGTTTAGACTATGTACTTGTTTTAGTACAGATGTGACGGCCAGGTAAGGGCAACCTGACATTCATGAGCATTAATAGCCTTGTTTACCTGTACTAGTGGACTGCCAAGGTTGAACTCATTCATGTGTGAAAAATGTTGTCGAGGCATCTGTACATCTTCTTTGTCGAATTGCATTATTGAAGTAAATCAAGATGCAGCTTCAATATCTTAATAAGTTATGTCACTGAACATTGGCAAGGTGTATTCAGTAAGCACAGATCTGAGGGGCTGTATTTCCTTCATCGAACACACGCTGCGTTCATCATAGTTTGGGACTTTCTACTCTATTTGGGAATCATGCAGTTGTTAGGCTTACGGATACGAACGAACTAGAACTTGTTTGGCAGGTAGGTTTTGTTAAGATTTGTTATCTTGTTCTCTCTCTACCCTCTACTTACTTAATCACAATTTAAATCCTAAATAGACTTTCGGGCCTAACAGTGTGGCAATTTTAGACCCTCTGTTTCTGTATTTACTTGAGCTCATTTTCCTTAATGTTTACATCATCTCATAAGACTAAGTCATCAATGATGTCAAAGCTGTCTGACATGTTACTTACTTACTTACTTACTTTGGAGATTTAACGTGCGCTTTCCGACTGATGCGTATTTCGCACACGGGCCGGCCAGGCCATTTAATGTGTTTCCGAAAGGGGCGAAAGTGGTCTGTGCAACCCAAGAGGGGGGTTTTAGGGGTTGCTTATATAGAATTTGGGAGTTTTGAGATTTGGAATAGATGCCGATGGGATTGGGGAGGAGAACTAAGGGAGCTGGGTATGGTGGATGTTTGTTTGTTTATGTGATTTTGATTTGGTAGGTTATTGTGTTTTTAGATGCGTTTTATTAGTTCCGTTTTTATTAAGAATACGCCTAAGGCCTTGAAGTTTTCTAGTTTATTTTGTGGGTTTAGTATTGCTTCTAGAGTTAGAGCCTTGTTTAGATTGAGGGTGGTTTGTAATGCGGTTCGATGTGTTAGGTAGTGTTTGCAGTGGATGAGTGCGTGTTCTGGGGTTTCTGGTTGTTTGCAGTTAGGGCAGTTACCTGTAGTGTGTTTTTTAAAATTTATTAGGTGGTTATTTAGGTTGGTGTGTCCTGTTTGGAGTTTAGTGATTACTCTGTCGATTTTTTGGGATGGATGGAGAATTTTTGGTTTGGTTAGTGGTTTGCTGAGCACTTTTTTGATTTGGCTATTTGAGTTTAGATATAGGTTATGCCATTTGTTTGTGTTTTTTTGCTTGTTTACACTTTTAATTTCTGATTTTGAGATGGGTAGGTTTAAGCTTATTTCTGGGATTTTGAGGGATAGTTTAGCTGCTTTATCAGCGTTTTCATTACCGTATATTCCTACGTGGGCGGGTATCCACAAGAAGGTTATTTGTTTGCCTGCCTTAGTTAGGTCGTTGGAGCTTTTAAGTATTTGATTTATTAATTTAGGTCGGTTTTTGGTATTTTTGTTTTGGAGGGCTTGCAGTCCACTTAGGAAGTCGGTAAGTATTAGGATTTTTTTGTGTTTTTTGGATTCTTGATTATGGAGGGCTGAGGCCATGCCCATTAGTTCTGCCGTGAATATTGATTGATTTGGGAGTCGGAAGGATTGTATGGTTTTAGTTGGTTGTGTGGTATGGACTCCGAAACCTGTGTGTTTGGAGGTCGGATCTGAGGATCCGTCCGTGTAAATGTGACACCAATTTGGCCAATTTTCGTGTATGTATGCTAGTGTGGTAGTTTTAGCTATGTTTGGGTCGGTTTGTTTATTTATTTGGCTAGCTAGTGTTGTGTCTATTTTGGGTATTTTAAGTTTAGGGTTGAAGATATTTGATTGTTTGCAGATTTTTAATTTGGTGTTCATTTAGGTAGTTTGTTATTCTTTGGGATATTGGGGTAAGTAAGGGGTGTTTACGAGCTAGAGCTTGGTTTTTGGGGCTGATGTTTTGGTTTATTAAGTTTTTGATGAGAGGGTTTGATTGGGACGCGGCCCAGAAATTTAAGCTTAGCTGTTCCCTGCGTAGACTTAGTGGCATTTCTCCTGTTAAGGCCTGAAGTGAGGTCTAGATGGTGCCATGTTGGGTGCGTGTAATTAGTTTGAGAGCCTGATATTGTATTGAGTCAAGTTTTTTAGATAGAGAGTTGTTTAGGGTGTTGTATATGGCGCAGCCGTAGTCTAGTTTTGATCTAATTAGTGATATGTAGAGAGAGAGGAGGGTATCTTTGGATGCTCCCCAGTTAGAGCCAGTTAGGCCTCTTCGGGTGTTTAGGTCTTTACTGCATTTAGTTGTTAGGTTTTGGATGTGAGCATCCCAGGTGAGATGTTCATCGAAAATAAGTCCTAAGAATTTGGTTTGTTTTTAAATTTTGATTGATTGATTGTTTAGCTGGAGGATTGGGGAGGCGGGTTTCATGTTTTTATGTTTGAATACTATTCCTGTTGTTTTTTCTGAGTTAAGGGAGAAGCCCCATTTGTCAGCCCATTGTTGTATTTTATTAAGAGATTTTTGGAGTAAATTTTGGACCATGTTCATTCTTTTAGTGCGGATTCAGATGGCTCCATCATCCGCGAATTTTGATGTGTTTTCTTTAGGGGATAGGCCCTCGAATAGATCGTTTATCATTATATTGAAGAGGGTGGGGCTGAGGATACTGCCCTGTGGAGTACCATTTTCTAGGGGACATTGGTCCGATAGAGTTTGGTCTATACCCACGGTTATTTTATGATTGTTTAGGAAGTCCTGGATGTAGTTTATTATCTGACCTTTGAGTCCTATTTTTTAAAGTTTTTGTATTAGCCCATCGTGCCATACCATGTCGAAAGCTTTAGAGAAGTCTAAGAAGATGCCTGTGGTATATTGTTTATTTAGTTGTCCTGTCTTAATATCTTGTTCTAGTCGGGACATGTTTCTTATGAACAGTTTATGAAGCTAAACAATGTCCAAGTGACTTAAGCACAAAAATACGCGCTATCCATTTGATCGACGTTTGTATGTGATTTTTGGGGGAGAGGAGGTGCTAACTACTACTTAAAAACAGAGATCATATTAGATTACTAATGAGATGGTGATAAGGCTAAGGTTATGAAACAATCTGAACTCACAGTCTTGAATTACTACACAATACACTGCCTGGGACCCAAGCTTCAATTGCTACAGTGTGCAAAGATTGTTTTTTGAATGAGATAAGCTATGTTGTTAGATTTAGTTCTCAGGATATTAGTTCTTGAAATGCATGACGTAGCAGCCCCCTCATGTACTCAATATATGCTATTTCAGTATTCAAGTATCTTCAGGCGACATTTCCCACACAGTGGAAAATATTCATCCTGATTCCAACACAATATTTACAAGCAAATATGAGGAAAAGAGACAAACGATTTCTGTGATGAGTGAAACACTGTATGTGTGTTTGTGCACGTGCGAGTGCTCGTGTGCGTGTGCGTGTCTATGTGTGTGCATGTGTGTATATGTACACACACACATATATATATATATATATGTATATATATATATATATATATACATATATATATACATATATGTATTCAAAAGGAAATTAATGATAAAAATTGTGAAGTCATTTCTATTGAAAATCCCGAAGATTTACCATTTAGACCAATTGTGGGAGGACCCGAGAGCTGTACTCAGCGTCTTAGCAATTTCATAGATATTATTCTTAAGCCTTTATGTAAACATGTAAAAAGTTTTCTCAGGGATGACATTGATTTTTTATGTAAATTACCTACTGAGGTACCGGAAGGATCTATGTTAGTTAGTTTTGATGTTGTTAGTTTGTATAGTAATATTGAAACTGAGCTCGGACTGGAAGCTATCAGATACTGGCTGAAAGAATACCGCCATGAAATATCAGATAGATTTTCGGGTGAGTTTATCATTGATACATTGAAGTTGGTTATTACCAATAACATGTTTTATTTTTATGGATCTTATTATTCACAAAAGAAAGGAGTAGCCATTGGTACTAAGGTAGCCCCTTGGCTTCCTATGCAACTCTTGTGTTGGGATTTTTAGAGAATATGTTTTATGATAAGGTGAGAGATACTCTTGGTGAATCTATGAAAGAACAAATTGAATATTCATGGAAAAGGTTTTTAGACGACTGTTTTATCATATTAAAAACCAGTGAAAGTCAACTTACCGCTGTTCATGAAATTTTAAATTCACTTAATGCGTCATTCAATTTCACTATGGAAAAAGCGAATCCAGTTTAAACTTTCTCGATGTAAGAATCAATTTAATATCTGGGAGATTTGTACAAACTGATATCTTTTATAAAGATACTGATACGCACCAATATTTGGATTTTGGATCATGTCACCCGTATCAAACAAAACGATATATCCCTAACTGTCTCGCAAGACGTATTTGTACCATTGTTTCCGGGAATGATGTTAAAACTACTCGCCTTGCTGAACTTAAGAGTTTCCTACTGCATCAAAATTATCCCGCAAAGCTAATTGAAGATAGCATACAGAAGGCGCTAAGTATTAAGCAACTAAAACTGAGAGAAAAGCCTGAAGAAAACAATATGGGGAATAATTTAACTCTAGTATCTACCTTCAACCCTAATCATGAAAAAACATTATCCATGGTTCAACGATACCTGCTTATTTTGAATCAAAGTATTAAAGTGGAGAAGATATTAAGCAAATACAAAATTATCAACAGCCAAAGACAACCCCCAAATCTTAGAAAGATTTTGACAAGTTCTAAATTTGATTCTGTTGTCATCACTCCACAGGTTTCAGTCCAAATTACCAAGGACAATAAATTTACTGTAAAACAAAATATGACTCGTGATACTAGAAATGTTATTTACTTGATTGTTTGTAGCGGATGCAATGAAAAGTATATAGGAAAGACAGAACTTAGATTAAAAAGAAGAATGAATCTTCACCGTTCACAAATAAAGCAGCCACACGACCGCACGATTCCACTCAGTGAACATTTAGAAGCATGTGGAAACGGCAACTTTTTAGTTTTCCCGCTATATAAGCTAAATGTTGATCATGAACCTACATTGTTTCAAAAAGAGCAACATTTCATTCATAAATACGCGCTTTTATTACTTGCCCGTGAAGAGATCACCCGTTTAATAAACATACAGCTGTATTACACATTGTGTAATACCAAAACGCGTGCTTATGTACTCTCGGAACACGTTTCACGAGCACATATTGAAAGCTCTCAACATCCCTTGGCGTATTCAACGACATTGCGTGTGGAGATGATAGATCACTGAGAGGAGCTTATGCACACTCGATGACCCCAGCAACCTTGTTGCTAGGCTGACGTCACATGGCATTGTTGTGCCGAAGGATCTTGCAACAAAATTCCACA